TTGGTGATGACAAAAATATCTGAAGCTTTAGAATTAAACTACGGAGCTCCTTCTTCCTTCACAATTTGCTAAGCAATATATTTTGCTTATGGAGCTTATCATTGTAGAGTTATCCTATGTCTCTTAGTCTGAGCTGGCCATGACAATTCCCTGTGATAGCAAAACTAGAAAAATTCTATCAACTTGGTTATTTGACATTTCTAACAACCCTATTGTCAGGGTTCCATCCTGGCAGTTGCTGGTGGAAGTAGTGCTTCAGTCAAGCTTTGGGACACTTCCACATGGGAGCTTGTTGCCACTCTATCTATTCCTCGTCCAGAAGGGCCCAAGCCAACTGACAGAAGCAGCAGTAAAAAGTTTGTCCTATCAGTTGCATGGAGCCCTGATGGTAAACGGCTTGCTTGTGGCTCAATGGATGGCACCCTATCTGTCTTTGACGTAGCTCGTGGCAAATTTTTACATCACCTTGAAGGCCACCACATGCCGGTGCGTTCACTTGCATATTCGCCCTACGATCCGAGGCTGCTGTTTACAGCTTCAGATGATGCACATGTCCACATGTATGATGCTGATGGAGGAAGCCTAGTTTCATCCATGTCAGGTCACGCTAGCTGGGTACTATGCCTAGATGTTAGCCCAGACGGGTCGGCTGTTGCCACAGGTTCAAGCGATAAAACTGTGAGACTCTGGGATCTGAACATGAGAGCTGCTGTGCAGACGATGAGCAACCATACAGACCAAGTGTGGGGAGTGGCATTTAGGCCACCTGGAGGCAGTAATGTTCGAGTTGGTCGGCTTGCCAGTGTATCAGATGATAAGAGCATAACGTTGTATGATTATTCCTGAGGTCAGGTAGGCACTTAGAGACGTATTCCCTGGATTTGCAATGTGTACTGAAATGGTCGTTTTCAAGAAAAATAGGCTTTTAGTTTTATATTATGTACTGGAAATTATGATCGAGTTTCTCTTTGCATTTATCTTGCTATTAAAGATATTTAAATTTAAGATTGACTCAACTTGGCCAAAATATTGAATATAATCGAAAACCATAAAGGCCAAACTCGATTGAAATTGGTATTTCAATGCAAGATACCGTGCCATTGAGCTTGATGCTTTAGGCCTGTAAGAACTAAGAAGCAAGTTCTAGTCCAGCCATGCTCCTCTAACTATGGATTGTGGTATGAAAACAACTTTCTTTGAAGTGAGATTTGCAAGGGGCAGATCTTACAAATCCATATTTTATATAAACATGATAATAAAACATTTGTATCTTGCAAAGAAGAAAACTATGAAATTACCCACAGTGCCCTTGAAAATGCAAAAGCCAAAGGAAACATCAGAACTTTCTGTTTCATCCTTCAAAGTTCCAAATCAACTAAGGGTGTGTTTGGATGAAAGCAAACCATGGTTTGGAGAATAGCTTTTGGAGAATAGATTCTGAAAAAAATAGATTTTAGGAAGAATAGATTTTGTGAAAAAGTGATTTTGAGAAGTGTGAGTGTTTGGATAGTTATTATTAGAAGTACTTTTTATATATACAAATTGACATAAATTAATATGATAATTATAGAAAAAATATATTTTATGATATATTTTAATTTGAAGGAATAAAATTGTTAATAATATATTTTTTATTAACATATATTAATAATATATAAGATAATATAATTAATAAATAATTAATATGTATATATATTTATAAGATATAAGATTAAATATATTTATAAAAAATATGTTTATAAAAAAAACAACAAGATACATATCCTATAGGCTCTCACACTCTCCTCTTTTTCCTCGAAAAGTAAAAAATTTCTGCTTTTCTCAAAACCATGGTTTTGATTTTTTTAAGGGTGTTTGGCTAACATTTTTCCCAAACCATGGTTTGGGTCCCAAAACCATGGTTTTGGGTGCTTGCCAAACACACCCTAAACAATCGTAACTTACGAACACCTGAGGGTAAACTATCAACCTTAACCAGCTTGATATCAGAACGCTGAAACACTCCTCGGTTCAAAAAGGAACCTCCGACTTTTTGGTAGCCGATTTTGTGAAACAGGTAACAAAACAGCATTCTATGAATTATGAAATGGTGTAAAAAGTGCATTCTATTGACACAACTCAAAGGGATGCGCAGATAGACAGAAAAAACTGACCGAAAGTCTTCCGGGTCTAGTGGTCCGTGGTCTTTCGGGGGTGACTATAACCCAATCTTTTTTTTTTTTGACCAGCGACTATAACACAATCTAACCCAAATACCAAATGCAATTGCTCCAATCAACTTTGAACTATTCTGCAAAACTTCTTTTTGTCATTAATTTCACAGGAAATAACAATGTTTAACGTGACTAAATATTCAGATGCACAGAATAGCTACCACGAAATTAAGTCATGTGATCAAATAATGAAGCAAAGAAGACATTAGACCCGAATTAGTAAGCTCCAGCTGTTTCTCATCCACCTTGAATGAGAAATAATAAATACGGTTCAATTCCTTCTGTTCGTCGCCACATGGAATGGCGTGGTTTCCCACTCGTGTTATCAAAAACCAGCAGGTCACAGGGAAGACTTCTACTGTTGCCACTATTGACCCAGTCCCTCAAAAGGAGAGCTAAAGAAAACACGCCTTCAATTGGAAAGATAATCTACCCGCTACCAATTGTCAAGTCCGCGAAAACCCGATAGTTCAGAAACCTCATTTTCACAATCCGAGTCTACAGGCGCTCACATTCAAAGATTCCATTAGAAATGGGATCTACCAATTCGACTCGCTCACCCGACTGAGAAGAAAAAAGAGAGGAGTCCAGGTGAAAGTGTGAAACTCGAGAGGCTTCAGATCAAATCCCGCAATCATGAACAAAATCCAATTAGGTATTCACGAATTAAGACAATAGAGTACAGCCTTTACTCCCAAAATCCTAATTGCTAGAAATCAGAAGACAGCATTAGGTTTCCAAATAGGGCGATCAAAATTTAATGCAGCAGTAAACCCCAGACAAGAAATAATGTGCAGATAGAGAAACATTGTCGGGAACTCCCCAGCCAGGCAGAACCCTAATGCTAAGAGCCAAAATCAATTAATGATGCGTATCAATTCAATCCTCACCTTTCAGCTGTCAGAGATTTATCAATTTTGACGCAGGGGCCGGTTTGGCCGTCGTCGAGGCTCGAGACACGACAGCGACTTCGTCCTTTCTTTGGCGCCAAAATTCGTCAGTACTTCGAGAGGGTCCTTCCATATTCGCAACCAAAAACTGCCACTTTTGGTACTTGACAGCTGCGGGTTCAACGGTTTTTGAATAAATTACCCTTTTAATGTTAATTCCTTTTTAATTTTATGAACGGGATATGCAGAACAAAATGATCATTTAAATAAAAAGGGGACAAATATTATGAGGTTTAAAAAAATATTTAATTATTAAAAAATCCTAACAAAATGATAAGTGAGTAATAAAAACTTGCCGTTATTTTTTATACCAAAATTTGTTATTACATACTTCAATTACTACTGAACTTTCAGACAATTAAATTATTTTCTTAAAACTTTGTATTAATTCCCTCAATAAAAATTAAGTCTTTTCAAATTTAATACTCTCGAGTCTTCCAAAACGTAAGACTTGTTTGACGAAATGATTTTTTTTTTTTTCAGAAGACTCATTCTTAACTGTTTCCCATATTTAATACTTTTAAAAGATAATTTTTTTATTACATAATTTTTTTTAGTTATCATCATCCATATCTTCCACATATAATACTCTCTTCAAAGACTTGTTTTATAAAAAGTAATGTTTTTTAACATTATAATAATAGTAATAAACAATCAACCTATTAATGGAAAAAAAATCAATCCAATTAATTTTTTAAATATATGTAAATTAATTAACTAGATTTTATGTTTAAAACAGAAGAGTAATATTTAATTTTATACATATATAAAAATAAAAAGTATAAACCACTCCGATGAGAGAAGGCCATTTGAATATTCAGCTTTTTTTGGTTGGGATGGGAAGTGATACGGCCACTTGAAAAGAAAGATTTGTTTTTTGCTTTAATAGTCACATCCCCACCACAGCTCCCCTTCCCCACTAAAGCCACTCGTGGACCTCACGTCCCCACCAACCCTCCATTCAGCCTGCCCCTTCACTTTCCCTTCCTCCTTTCTATGTATATTTTAACGCATTGTACGGACGACACCCCCACACATCACATGCAGCAGCAACCGACACAGATTCAGTGATCCGAATTATTGTGATCTTTCTCTTTACCATACCCTACGCTTATTGGTTCTTCAACGTATAATGAAAATGCTCATGAAAGTCCTTTCCAAATCACTGCCAGTCCGTACAACTACCCAGCATTTAGGATCATCCCTGGCCGGTTGGCTGCCTTTTCCCCCCTTTTAAGCCTCTTCACTTTAAGATTAATAAAACCAGTTATGGAAACTTGAGATTAAAAACAAAAGGTTGAGAGCCCTACACAGCTTTTCCCAGACTATCTCACACACACACACACTCATCCATAATTCAACAGCATATATACTTGTATTATTATTCTTCTAGCAAGGCAGGATAAGTTCCACGACAAGGAAATAGATTTTGGATAGACAATCTTGCCAGGTGCTGACTGCTGACACACACAGGTAGGGTTGGGAGAACAACGTAGAGAACGTGATAAAGTCTGATGAATCTTTATTACTATTATTTTTTATTCTTTTGTTAAAACCAAGCAAAGAAAAGCAGATCAGATGCACCATAACCAAGATATTTCTTGGAAAACGAAGCAAAATCCAAAGATATGAAACTTCTCAGAAACAAAGAACCAGCTTCCAGTAATTCCTTTTTTTTGACCAGCAAGCTTCCAGTAATTCCTAAAGCAGACGTCTAAAGAGGGATTACACATTGCATGGTAACAGAGGCTGCGCAAGTCGAGGAAAAAGGTGTTTCTGACCAGAGCAAGTGCACAAAGAAAAAAAGAAGCAGCCAACACACATGCGCACACGCTCGTTAGAATTAGAATTATATATACACAGACACAAACACATAGACATCCATATAGTTCTCTGTATTTTCGAATGTCATAAAAGATATTCCAGTATCCATGAATAAACAACTTTATCAGCAAGTACATTTTCTATAGGCTGTTGGAAGTTGGTAGACAGAAATCATATCATATTAAATTTGAATGAAAAAAAGAGGGCACAACGGGTAGAGATTTTAGACACACAGCCGATAGCAGCATTTATAATGGATGATCCAACTATGGAGCAGTTTCAAGCCTGGGTTCAAAGCAAAACCCAGTGAAGAGCTGCAAGGGGAACCTTTTTGTCACTGGACACTTCTGTGACCATCTCCATTGTTTATGGTTCATGTCATACGTGAGAAGTGCTGAGGCTCCATAGCTTTGAATATATATGAGATCATCTGTACCACTGCTAGCAAACACATCATCCAACTCTCCAAATCCTTGAAAGAATTTGTGAGGCACTCGGGCAATTTTGTCCCATTTCCCATCATTTAACACCCATATGCCAATCCCTTTTATAATGTCCGGCCGATCAAGTTTACCGAGACCTCCCACCATTACAAGCTTCTCCTTCAAATTCATCAGACGACCACATGTTAGAGGACAAGGCATTGGAATAAAATTCCTTGCCAAGGATCGCTGAGACGAATGGTTGGTGATATTATATGCCACGAGGGCATGTCGATTTTCTGCTTGACCACCCACGGTTGAATAAGCCAAAAAGTACAGCACCCCATTACATGTCACACTCTCATCACCACCTCTCCACCCCGTCAAAACCTCTGTTAAACTGGTCACCCAGGTCTTATCTTCTGAATTGTATATATGAATTGAAATAACAGAATGACAGAAGTTCTCAGGCACTTCCTTTGATTTAACGATAGCCACTGTGTAACTTTGTGATACTCTGTTTAATGAAATTGCCAATGCACTGTAATCAGAAAAGTCAGCACCGGGGGGCCCCTCAAGCTTCTTATAGATTTTAGTAATGGGGTTGCACACAAATAATTCACTTCGATTGTCATTGTCCATGAAGCAAACTAAACCACAAGATGATGCAATTAACCAACTAGAAGTGCCAATGCAGGGAAGTTCAATGCCATACCATTTCCGAAGGATTGGGTCATAAGCATAACCAGTTGGCTCATCAACGCCTGTAAACATAAAGTACCAAGGTTTCTGCGGAAGCACATGTGAAAGGCTCCACAGAAACCTCTTTGAGGTAACAATTTCGTGCCATCTTTTACAGACACAACCTGCTCTGAAGATGCTTGCAACGGGAAGATAGGCTAGGATACGTTCCAACAGCTCATCAGGCAAAATACTATCCACACAAACAGTAGCGACTTCTTTATCACTTTCCTCACCCAGTTCTAAAAATGAATCAAACTCCCTACTCTCCCTGGTTGAATTATCAAGGCAGTGAACGATCCATGATGTTTCTCCCGCCATAGATTTGAAAGGGAGGACCTATTGAGTATTGGAGGGAGCGGGAAAAGCATAAGTCATACTAATGCCAAACAAAAAAGACAACTAAGGATTCCATCACCTGTGAACATACTAGATCAGGGAGACATGCAGCATTTAATGAGAAAATGGACGGCATTTTTAATAATGCAACTAATAATACCAAACAATGAACAGAAACATGAAAAATTGAAAATGTACAAAATATTATCCATACAGCTATTAGCATGAGGATGTTTGCAATAGAATGCAACAAGGAGACAATCTCCAGATGTACAGGTAGAAAATAAAAGGCATAGTCAGGAGAATTCTTCCCATTTCAAAAAGCATAAACTACCTTAAGAATGGAAAGGTATATTTGCACAACTAAGACGCTCAATTAAGGGAAAAAGATTGAAATTTTCCCCACCCTAGCAGAGAAAATCCGAAAATGATTTAGCAATTCACAAAAAAAAAAAAAAAGGCGCTAATGCATTACATAACAATGATAACATCATAACCACGTCGCACTGAAGTAATGACCCTGAAACTGAATTTCCATCTTATAAGAATCGCAAATACATAGCATAGCCTCGTAGGAATAGCAATTATGCTTGGTGCAGATACCCAGGTAAAGCCAAACTTAATCTCAGATGGAAACACAAAGACCAGTATCTCATATTAATGACATGACGGAATTCATTGAACAGAAGAAAACTTTCTCACATTCTGCTGTTATACATGACATTGTTTTTAGCCATCCAATAGATGACACGGCAAGAACGCTCAAAATCAACGTGCTTCCGTGTTAGCTCAGGGAATCGTCAGAGCAAACCAATTAAGACGTCATAAATATCTAAGAGAGTAAAAGAGCAAATACTTCAAAAATAACAGCAAGCATTACAAGTAACAACAAACAAATTCCTTACAAGCTCTTAATGAGAGAGTAAAGATTATGTTAAAACCCATTTTGCCATAAAGCATGTAAATCCCGAAAAAAACTCGTCTTTTCTTCGCAAGAAAACAAAATATCTGATAGGGAGTGGCCCTGCAGACTTCAGAATCAAACCCTAAGAAGGTTGGCGTGATTCAAACTACAAAACAAAGATGAGGAAGAGGGAAACAAATGGCGAATACCCATCAAGTAAACACCCCACCCGCCACGATTTTCAGAGCTAATCAGTAACAACAATCCCTAACCGAAAATCATACAACAAAAACACATCAGATCAATGAAGGCAGAGCAGCGCCAACAAAAATAACAGTACTCAAATATCTCCTCAAAAAAACGAAAGTGAAAAGAAAACATTTCAAGAATTGAAAGCCGAAACTCATCACCACACAAATATACCTTATTCAAAGCCTCCCCACCTTAGCTGCGAAAATGGGTGCGAGCAACCTCAGTGAGCCTCCAGGGTCATATAGCGAAAGATAAGAACAAATGGGGGTAGGAGAAGTTGCCGCAATTAAATTAATAATTGCCTAGCAATTAAGACCTGCCTCAGAAGCATTGAACTGGCGAGCGAAAAATGGAATGGGACTGTGTATATTTTTCCTTCAAATGGACGAGCAGCGAAATGGGTTACTCTAGATTTGGTTGATAAACAAAGCCAAACGACAGAGAGGGGGGGGGGGGTTGGTTTCTTTTTCTTTCCGTTTCTCTTTTGACGCAACAAAAACAACAGCCAAGGAATGATGGTGAGAAGGCGGTTTTTCTATGGGGGATGGTGCTTTTTGTGGTATGGGGGAGAGAGAAGCGCGTGCAGCCACGTGCTTTTGGTTCTTCGTTTAATGGCCGAGAGAAGGGCTGCGACGTCCTTCAATATAAACGAGGACGACAATATTTTAGGTTTTGTTTTCGCTCCCATAAAAGTAAAAAAAAGTTTATGTTTGTTTTTATTTTAAAGGAGCAGGATGGTCATTTCATAATAGGACCATTTAATTAGAACTTGACAATTTTTATTTTTTTTATAGCTTTGGTTTTTAAATAAATATAATATTATAATATCCCTTGTTTTATCATAAATTAATGATAAAAAAATTATTTGCCAAAAACAAATACCCTCTAACCTAAAGAATTACATTAAAGAAAAGAATTACCTTCGATGAGATCTCATATTGCTTAAAATGGGCAAAATTTGATTAATTTTTATATTTATCAATAGAGTGCGGATCATGCATTTATATTGCACTGTTTTTCTTTTTTCTGTTAAATTAAATTTGGGAATATACTTTGCCAAAAGCCACAACAGTTCATATTAGTGGGGAGTATTCTCATTTTTCTTCCTTCACTTGTTCTCTGCTTTATTCTCTTCTTTCCTTCATTTTCCCGCATTCATATTCTCTCATTCGTCTCTTTTCATTTCTTTTTTCCCCTCGTATTTATTTTATTGCTAAATTTTCTTTCTCTTCTTCAGTCTTTTCCTTTTTTTGGCCACTTCTTTATTCTTTTCCATTTTTTAATAATAAAATAAATCCACGGGCTTGGATTATCTCTCCGTTGGCTGGAAGGGACATTACTGTGGTCCTTTTGGGCCTTCCTTCACCTGAAAATGCCCCCCTCTTTCTTCTTCTTCTTTTTTTTTTGTTGCCAAAAAGAGTTATTTTATTAATGTCAAAAAATCATTACAATCACAAATAGTAATAGCCTAGAGGCCACAGAAACACTCAAAAAAACCTCTCAGCACAAACTAATTCATACCTCATCCCTAGAAGAACTAAACAAAGACTGAAAAAGAAAACAACAAAAAAACCACTAGACAGAACCAAAGGTATATCTCACAGAGCATATGTATTTTACCCTTTTTCTGTTTTTTTAAATAAAATATAAGTTGACAGAAATTTCAAGATTGATCTTTTTTTTTAGCCAGCTTCAAGGTTAATCAATTTTTAAATTTTTCCCGTTAGCAAAATCCATTCATTTTTTTTTTTAAGAATACGTCACATAATGTTGCAACAAATGACACAATTCTTAAAAGTTTAAAAAATTTTAAACTCCGTGTATTAAATTGAAAATTATCTCTAACCTTTTACAATATGTTTTTTCTTTTTTCAATAACCCGACTTGACTTTATAGGGTCCAATTATTTGCTGGGGAAAAAAAAAAGAAGAAGGGCAAATTAGTCCGACACTTGGTATAGCAAGAGTGATGAATTAACTCAAGGCGATATCAGTTTGCAATGGTAAAATAAATTAGCTTAGTAACATCATAATATATTTGAATTAGCTTAGAATAAGTATTTTTACATTTTAGAAGATAAAAATCCTTTCACATATTTGTCTCACATGACAGCTAATCCAAACAAGTAATGCAGCCACGTTAGCAATTTCACTGATTTAAAATAATATGGTAAGAACATCATTAATGAATGTTTTATTTCCTTAGTGACAGCACATGATTTTATAAGTATTGATTTGCCATTAGATATATTTTCCCATGCATAGCATCAAGCCATCGAACTTGGTAAACACGAAAGGTAAACCACACTGTTCATGATTTATAGTTATTTTCTCTCTTCCTTTTATCTCCAGAATACACAAAATTAGAAGGATATTTATAAAGATGATTATGATGTTTAAAAAAAAATATGTCATATTTCTTATAATTAACTAATTTACCTAACTTTTTTAATATAATCAAATTAGCTAAATAGATGTTATATTAAGGATCAGAGGAGTATTTAATATTATTAGCCGCTACGTGTGTATTCAAATATATTCTTATACGGTCGTACTTATTTTATTTTTTACAGTAAATTTATATACATACACACATAGACACACACATGTAAAGCAGTTTGGAACTGGCTATGCTATTCATTTTTGCTCGATGCATAAAAATCTCGTGATGTGGTGCAATAACTGAGGCATGTAATATTGATTGCATTTTAACTAAAATTTATTTATCATTATGTATAAATATTCTTATTTTATATTTTTTTATTTCATCTGATATCATACATCTAATTAAAAAGAGGTGTTAATACCATTTCTAAACCTTCAAATTCGAAGCAAGTGGTTTTGATCACTGGAATTTGAAATAAAAAATGTTTGTTCCTGAAATTTAACCTCAATTGATTGGTTTTAGCAGTTGCTCTATGAATAAAAAATCTTTTAGTGAACCAAAATAAAGTCAAATAAAAAAAAAACAAAAACAATGATTTAAAATTTAAATGGCTAAAACTAAAAAAATCATAATTTATAAATAAAAAATAATACTACCTCTAGTCCTTAATATAAGAGCTAGCTGATTAATTTAAATATATTAAAAAATTGGTTAAGTTAGTTCTTTGTAATAAATAGGTATTATCTTCCTTAAAATATTTTTGTTAATCAAGTGTGTTGAATAAAACTACCATTATTACAAAAACTATCTTATAAAAAATAAATAAATATAAGAGACAAAATAAATTAAAATATTATATTTAAAAGTAAAATAAAAGTTAAATAAAATTTCATTGCATATATTTGTGTGTATATAATTATATATATAGATACACATGTACCGGGCAATATGCGGAATTTACAAAGCAAAAGCTGCACATAACGGAAAACAACTGTCTTTAACCCAAAGTCACAAATCATGGAATCCCACGTATGATAAAGATTACCAGAAGAAGCAACCCTGATTAATTAATAGTACGTGGATCTTCATCACCACCAAACTGCGCCGAGAGCCCCATAATTAAATAGTTCTTCTGGATCTTAATTATAAAATTTTATTTATAGATTATAATTGAACCATAATAATTAGTATCAAAAATAGTAATTAATTATGAAACTATCAATAAAATCTTATAATTAAAACCGGAAATAATAATAACAACGCCACAACGTGGGTGGCTTTTGAGTAGTCTAACAAAACCATCAAATTAAAATAAGTTGACTTTCGTCCTGTGATTTGAAATAGGCAAGATGCCCCAGTCCCACATTGGATAGGAATGAAATTAAAAAAAATATATCAATTTGCAAAATTTTTATAGCTTTACTTATTTTTAATTAGGTTGTTGTAATTTTTTATTATGTTCCTATAATTTCATATAATTTCTAATCAAGTTCCTGTAATTTTTTCTTATCATCAGTCACCTAAAATTTCAAGGACCTCGTTTTAAAACTATGAAAACCTTGTAAAAAACTACATCAACTTGATTAAAAACAAATGAAACTATATGAACCTCATGGGGAAAAAAAAACCACGGGGGTCTTATTAAAATCTAGGTGAAATTATAAATGCTTGCAGCAGATTTTCCCAGACCTTATAACCGTTTTTGACCAGTATGTTATGGGTATTTATATTATAGTCACTATTTTTCATGGAACTTTAAAAGTATAATTATTATCCACGGCCGACTCCACTTTCATCATTTAAACTAATGCCAAACAGAATAGAATAGCACGGCCTTTGAACATGAAGAAGATTAACTAAAGGAACAGAATGTATACAAGAATATAAGAATTAATTAAATTCGACGAATATTTTATTTATTATACTGTTAATTATTACTAGTTTGTTAAGGATATTTTATAAATTTGACACTAATAATAATATTTTAAATTAAATTAGATAAGTGCCAAGTGTTGCAAGAAATAAAACTGAAAAGAAAGCTGAGGTAGTGGGAGCTCCACTAAAGTGGAAATACTATTGCCTATTTCAAAGCAGGGCCGCCAGGGGCATTTGAGCGGGCATAGACTAGATTAGATTAGATTTGTTATCAATCCGAAGTCTAATTCAGTAAAGACCTCAAGGTTAAAAAAGACAGTCCAAAATCTGGTTTAGTCCAGTACTAACCTGAGGTCGGATTAGACTGGACTTGGTCCTCTAGACTGCCTGGATCAGTCCAAGCAATCTAAGACCTAAATTTATTTTTTTAAAATTCTTTTTCTTTAACAGGAGGCAAGATTGTAACTTATTATATAAAATTTTACATATATTTTAATCCAAAGTTTATCAAATTTGATCATTCCCTTTTAATTTCCCAATAATGTCATGTTTTAATAATTAATCCTCATTAATATAGATCTTATATTGTAGAAAATATATACGCATGCTCATTACTTAGAAAGTTAATAGATAAATCTTGATTATTTGAATAGACAAGAAACTTATATTAAAAAATTAAATCAAATTAAAATTTTATAAATAATAATTTAAAAAAACCCAGTTAGATTGGACTGAATCAACTGGTCTGAGAGCCAGTCCCTAGTCCAGCCTAGCCCAATAATACCAGTCCGGTCCAATTTTGTTTCAGGCCAATTTTCTTTTAGACCGGATTTACTTGGGTTAGACTGAACCATACCGGATTGCTGGGTTTTTGTACAGTACCAAGCATTCCATTTCCACACACATTAAATTTAGTGCATTAAAATTACAAGAGCAAATATATTTGACAATTAAGAAAAAAAAGAAATAAAACAAAGCTTGCGATGCCTTTTCCTAGTTTTATGGCCAGATACGTTGAAAATGATGTCGATCTTAGTTGTTTTGTTTTGTAACTATAACATAATTAAGCCAAATACTTGTTTTATACTCTTAAACTTCATCATCACTTTGCTGACTTTGATTTCAACCTGTCAATCATCATTACTATCCAAATTAGCCCTATCTGCCCCCTAGTGTCCTTTTGCTCCTCCTTTTTTTTTTAAAAAAATTCTTTATTCTGCATGATCTTTTCATTTTGCGGTACATGGC